AGCCACTGGCCCCGAATTTGGGCCTGGGAGGCACAGAGGAAAGTCAGAGAGAGGTCACAGCATGAGCCTGCCCCAGCAGTGCTAGCCACCACGGCGGTACAGAGGAATGTCTGCCATGGCGAGCCGTACACTTAGGGGTTCTGTCTCAGTGGGAGCTCCATGCACAGTCAGATCAGAGAGGTCAGGCTGAGTGGTGTCCCCACCCCTTCCTGCTTCCTCTAGCCAATCCCTTACTCATTCTGTCTCCATTCTCACCCAGGCGTCCCCTGCCCTGGGCTGTCAGTGCCCACCCCAAGCGCCGGGAGGAAGATGTACGTCCCATCTTCTGGGCCTCCAGACCAAAGAGTTACATCTACCGCACACAGGAGTGGGATGAGTTCCCCAACGGCCGCTGGTGAGCACCTGCAGGCAACCCACTGCAAGTGTATCCTGTTTCTTGGGAGGGAGGCAGAGGGAATTTGCCTGCTTATTGGCTTGCTTTTTGGGGAGCGGTGTGGGACAGGATTCACAGGAATGTCCCCTGGGCGGGTGGGTGCAACTGTCCCTCTGTCAGGAGCCCCAGGTCAGGAGTATGCCTTGCCCTCTGGGCACCTCCTCTGCCAGGGGCAATTCCTCCTCTCCAGCCTTTGGGGAGCTGAAGGACTACTACCTCTTCTACCTGAAGAGTAAGTCCCCAAGGGAAGAGCTACTGAAGATGTGGGGGGAGGAGCTGACCAGTGAAGAAAGTGTCTTTGAAGTCTTTGCCTGCTACCTCTCAGGAGAGCCCAACCAACATGGTCACAAGGTGAGTAATGCTGGGGTGGGATCCCTGGTTATATCCCCCGCCCTGTCTCCCTGTGGGCCAGACCTCGGGGCTGTGACTCACACTGCCCCCGCCCCCACCCAAGCCTCCCCTCTCTCTGTCTGAATGTGGCACCTCAGCAAAAGGGAGGGTGAGTTGGGAAGTCCCCACCTGGGGCGCCTAGAAGGGCTGACAGACGCACAGGTGGAGCCCGCGAGAGGGAGGGAGCCCAGGGTGTCTGGTGTGATCATGGCCCCAGCCCGGCTCACCCTCTCCCCCAGGTGACTTGCCTACCTTGGAATGATGAGCCCCTGGCGGCTGAGACCAGCCTGATGAAGGAGGAGCTGCTGCGAGTGAACCGGCAGGGCATCCTCACCATCAACTCCCAGCCTAACATCAATGGGAAACCATCCTCCGACCCCATTGTGGGCTGGGGTCCCAGTGGGGGCTATGTCTTCCAGAAGGTGCGGCAGGGACATACAGAACTGTTCCACCTCGGCCGGCCCCCAGGGGTTCCCCAGAGATGGGGACAGAGAAGCCTACCTCCCCGGGGTCTGTTTATTGTGAGGGGCAGAGGATCAGAGTGGACAGGAGCTCACGTTTTTAGTCAGACCTGGGTATGCAGGTTTCTTGACTGCTCTGAGCCTCAGCTGTCTCTTCCATAAAATGGGGATAGATACCATCACGTTCTGGGGCCGAAATGCTTGGCATGTGGGAAGAACGTAGGAAGCATTCACTAAATGGAACTGTAATTGGTGTCCCGAGTTGACACCTTTCTCCTAAGGCTGCTGGAGTTAAAACGACATTCTAGAACTGTAGCCCGGGCACTCTGGAGTTTGAAAGACCTGGGTTTGAGTCCCAGCTCTGCTGTTTATCTTCAGTGCAGCCAGGTTGCTCAACTTCTCCGGACTTAGTTTCCTCATCTGTGAGATGGGGGTAATAGTGCTCCCCCTGCAGGCTATGAACCCGGCCTCATCCCTGACAGGCAGTTGGTGCTCGAGAAGCCCTCCGTGTCCGTGTTAGCCTCCAGTGAGTGGGGAGGCTGGGATGTTTCAGGCCTCGCTCCCGTGTCTCAGCTTACCAAACGGGGCCTCCCGTCCGGCTTCTAAAGTGGCCTCTTTGTGGGGCCTTCACTGATTGGGAGAAGGGTGGCAGATGCCCCTCAGACCTGTCCAGACCAAGAAATCCCACGTACCTGCTCCCCTCCCCCTTGCTTGCATTCGCCCGCTCTCAGTTCATGATTCAATCCATGTGGCCACACTAGCCCCAGTGTCTCAAGTCCTGCCACGCGTGTCTGCGTGGGTGCCTCCCCGGGGTGGTCCGGAGGGCCAGCGTCCAGAGTCACGGTGCACACGGAGCAGGGCTGTGCAAGGACTGGGCTTGATGTGGCCGTACCTCTCCCCCTGCCACAGGCCTACTTGGAGTTCTTCACTTCCCGAGAGACGGTGGGGGCGCTTCTGCAGGTGCTGAAGAAGTATGAGCTCCGGGTTAATTACCACATCGTGGACGTCAAGGTAGGCTGGCTTCCGGGCTTTAGACGGCGCTCAACAGGCCCAGAGTCCCGGAACTGAAGGCACTGTGTTTACACCTCCCCTCGGCGAGCGCTGAGCACCTAGCCCGGGCCAGGCATGGTGGAAACGTATACCCAGAGCCAGGCTCCTGCCCTCAGCTCAGAGGGCCCCCGGTCTAGGGAGGAGGCCCAGTCTGTGGGTAATTACACATCTGGTTGCATTTTTAACAATAAGGTTCAGTATAGGATGCTGGGGACCCAGGGGAGGGATGTCTAATCTGAGAGGTCAGGGAAGGCTTGGAGGGGTCCCATGTGGTTGGAATCTTTGAGGACAAGGAGAAGGCTTCACAGGGAAAGGGAGGAGGTCGTGCAAAGGCATTGTCTGCGCAGCCTTCAGGGGCTGCTGAGTGGGTTCAGAGTAAGGCTAAAAGTACTGACTGTCCTGCTGGGAATTTGGTTTTCCCCTGAAGGCGAGAGGGAGCCTTTCTGAGCAGCAATGGCTTGGCTCCATGTTTTGTCATAGACAGGTCACGGTGGACAGGGCTGTGGATAATGGAACCAGGGAGACTAGAATCAGAGCCCTCTGTGGCAATCTGAGTAGCAAAGAGCAGCCTGGCTGGGCAGATACGGCAACAGATCCACAGATCCGTAGAGTGACCCTGCAGGAGTCAGCGGGAGCCACCGGATGTGGGGGATGTGATGCCCGAGCGTGTGGAGCTTGGAGCACAGGGAGGAGGAAGGAAGTGCCCAGACCCCGGCCGTTCTAGGAGCTTCCAGGCTAGGAGGGGCAGGTGGAGGGGATGGAGCCAAGCCTGCTCCACCCCTCACCCCACCCCTGTGAGTTCCCAGGTAAGAAAAGGACTGCAGTGTCTAGGCCCAGGTCTGCTCTGACCCCACCCCCCCCCCCCCGCCCATCTGCCCTCAGGGTGAAAACATCACCAATGCCCCTGAGCTGCAGCCCAATGCAGTCACTTGGGGCATCTTCCCTGGGCGAGAGATCATCCAGCCTACAGTGGTCGATCCCGTCAGCTTCATGTTCTGGAAGGTAAGGGGTCCAGGAGCCCAGGAGCGGGTCTGCCCTGCTCACCCTGCAAACCTTAGGCAGGCTGTGTCATGGGGGCCATGCCCCCAGGGCTGGGGGGGTGCTGCCTTCCCAGATGTGCTCTGATTCTGACTCAGGGTGTTGATTTCTGGCCTGGGGGATGGGAGGCGACTTTGGCAGTGGGCCTTACTCTATTTCTGGAAATGTCCTGTTGAGCAGCTTAGAGGCCCTGGGGGCACTTAGCATGGAGCCAGGCCTGACCCAAGGGCAGCTCTGTTCACCTTGCCTGCCTGTCTGTGTGGGTGCAGGATGAAGCCTTCGCCCTGTGGATCGAGCAGTGGGGCAAGCTGTATGAGGAGGAGTCTCCGTCCCGCATGATCATCCAGTATATCCACGACAACTATTTCCTGGTCAACTTGGTGGACAATGAGTTTCCACTGGACAACTGCCTCTGGCAGGTGGTAGAAGATACATTTGAACTTCTCAACAGGCCCACGCCAGAGCAAGGGGCAGAGGCTCTATGATCCTGCACCCTTGTGTCCTTGGCTTGAGCCCACTGGTGTCCTGCCTTCCTCCTCCCCAGTCCTAGTTTTCCTGGGGACCCCTCCTCTCTTTCATCTCTCCCCAAGCCCCGGCCTCCACTCCTCACGTGGTGATGGCAGCTAGACGCTCTGGCTGGACCGGAGCCAGCCCCTCGAGGGAGTCTGGTCTTCCTTGCTCGGCCTAGAGTCTGTGCCCTATATGAGGAGCACCTCCCTCCGCAGAGGACCTCTTGGGTGGAACAACATCCTCCCTGAGAAGAAGAGGGGGTGGTTGTTGCTGACCGAGCCCCTGAACCAGGGCAGTTCCTGGGACCTTGCATTCGGACCTGCGGGGACAGCAGTGAACCCGGGTGGCAGGCACTTACGGCGCTGCCGAAGAGACCGACCGAGCGGAGGGCCCCCCCCCCCGCTCATCTCGGAGGTGGTCCTGCTTGTGGCTGGAGGGGCAGATCCCTGCCCTGCCCACCTGCTTGGCAGGCCGCCCGCCAGGCCTCCGGACAGGCCTTGGCCTGAAACCCGATAAGGCAAGCATTTCTTGCCCCCGGCTGCCTGAGAGCCAGCTGGGCTTTCACTTTTCTACCGTGCTGCTTTTCTGTATTCTGGTGGTTCAAGAGGGAAAGTGCCTCGTAGAGGTTAAAGGCATCTGAACCCTTATACTTGGTGAAGCCCTTGGCCTGCCCTTTTTTCCGCCTGGCCATGGAAGGATACCCTGCCTATTACTGTCAAGGGCAAAGCTAAGGTTCAACTGAGCAGGACTGACTTCTTCCTGGCTTAGTTTTTTAGATGGGACCTCTTAGCGCCAGCTACCTCCTCCCATCTGCTCGGCCTGTTCCCGAAGCGGTCTGCCTGGCAGCGCTCCCCAGGAGTCAGCCCTCGAGCCCCACTGCCAGTGGCCAGTGACTGCTAGATGCATAGAAGCTGTTCCCTGTCCTGGTCCCGGTCCCTGCCTGCTGGTCCTCCTCGCTGGCTCAGCAGGAGCAGAGTGGGGGTAGGTGCCCAAAGAGCAGCCTGGTGGCAGAAGAGGCGGGCACAGTCACAGCTGTACCCTCTTCGCTTCCTTCCCAGGGTGGCTGACCGAGGCAGAGGGGCGGCCCTTAGGAGACGCTGAGCAAGAGAAGCAGCGAGGACTAAGGACTGTGTTTTATTGTCCTTCAGAGCTCAGAGAGCTGGCCCCTCTGTCACCAGGCTGCACTCCCCTGATGGGTGGAGCATGGTTCCTTCCTTAGGGAGGCTGGGCTCAGTGTTGTTTTTCTTTCTATGGGAACAAGTCACAGCTGCAGCTGGGTCCCCTGCTCCGCCTCAAGTCCACCACACACGGGCTCGAGCTGCTTCCAGCCTGCTCCCAGGTTCCTGATGCCCACCTGGCTCGGGTATCAGGCCGCTGGTGGCTCCTCTCTTCCGGCCCCTGGCTGCCAGGTGCTGGCGCCACTTCTCCAAGGCCTGGAATCGGGGAGGAGGAAGGAAAGGCTATTTGGCTCCCTCCTGGGTCTGCTGTATGTGCTAGGCTAACACCTGTGCCCTGTTCCTTCTCTCCCCAGAGGGAACAGGAGACCCACCCCCCATCCGCCTCCACCCCAGCCAGCCTGCCTCCCCCCAGCCAGCTCTGCCCCAGGCCTAATGCACAGGCTCAGAACAGATCTGACTTAAGGTCTGGGAACCTATGCTCAGAGTGGGGCAGATAAGGGAGGGGGCACTTAGGGACCCATACCCAACATGGGCTAGTGTGAGTGGCAGCCATGCTGTGGCCAAGCCTCGTTCCTACACCAAGTGGCTGGGTAGGCCTGGGCCGAGCGCATGATCGCCAGCTAAATCGGGACCCAAGCTATGTTTTCTCTAATGGAACTGACCCTGCCCCTGAAAATGGAGGGGCCCTGGGGGATGGTGACAAGGAGGGCCCCCAGCTCGGAAGAGCTGCTGGGGGGTGGGGGCCACCCCCCGTACCTGGGAAAGGACCCGGTCGCTTTCTTGCTGCTGTAATCGCTGAGCCACCCATAGCTGCAGGGCCCGCCGCCGCCACACACGCCAGGCCCACTTCAGGTGCCACTGCCTCAGCTGTGGGGGTGGGAAGTGAGAGGCCCCGGCCGGGCCGCTGCTGCCCCCCAGCCCCTCTGCTGTGTCTTCCCCCTACCGCCCTGCAGCACCAGGAGGAAGGGGCTGTGACGGGGCGGCGGGGGGGCAGGGTGCCCTTTAAGGTGCGCTAATGCAGATCCTTGCACCTGACCCCAAGCTTTCAGACTTGATCGGTACAGAGACCAAGATGCTTTGAGAGACGTCATTTCTAGCAGTTAGGGTCGGGGACGAGGTGAGCTGCGAGATCAGCTTGAGGCTGGGGAGGGGCTGCCCCCACTCACCAGCGTCCGTGCCGGCTGCTCGGCGCCCTGAGCATCTACCCGGTGCTGCCCCGGTGCGGCCAGGTGCCTGGCCCGCTGGGGGCCCCGGAGCCGGCGAATTGGCGCTTCCCGGTGCCAGCGCTGCAGGTACTTCCTCCTGGTGGGGAGAGGCCCTGGCGTGCACCCCGATAGCCAAGAGCATCAGGACCCCTTCATGACCGGGAAGAAGGGCAGAGCCACGGACCCCCGTGGATCCTCCAGGAGCGAGCACTGGCCTGAGAGAGGGCCCGCCCCCCCGGCTCAGCCCGGCCCCGGGCCCTGCCCCCGGGCCCACCCACCCCACTCACAGGCGCAGGCGCAGGCGCAGCTGCTCTTACCCCAGCTGTCTCTTAGCCGCCTCGCCTTGGCCTTTGAGGGCTCCGGCCTCAGAGCTGCAGTCCCCTCCTGGTCTTGTAGGGGGCCAGCCTTGGGTCTGGCCGGGGCATCCAGGCCATTGCCACCGGCGCGGGAAGGCACGGCAGAGGGGGGGCTCTTTGCTGCCTGGGAGAAGAGGTTAACAAAACCCGTACATAAAAAGCATTTCCAGGCCTGTGAGATGTCTGGCCCCTGGGATAGGTCTCCTTACTCTGAGCCCAGGACGTTTCTCTCTGCTTCCTCTGTCCGCCGTGGCGGTGGTGCTGGCTTGGGCCGGGCAGTGTCCCGAAGCAGTGGGTCTGAGGGAACAGCCAGAGAGGAAAACCTGAACCCCATGGGCCTGGACCCCCTGCATCCCAGGCAACCTGGCAGGATTCTTCGTGTCCTGCCCCTGACCAGAAGCAGGACCGCCGCCTCTTGTGTGGCCCCGAGGCTCCCAGAGGAGGCAGGGAAGGTGCCTGGGAGGAGTAGGGCCACGGGCACACACCACTGCCTCTTGCCCCGTCCTCCGAGCGTGGCTGGAGACTCAAGCAGAGGGGCGGACCCGGTCCACGCCTGGTGAGCGCTCACCCGTGCCCTGGCAGCCTGTGAGCAGGTCTTCTCTCCCCACCTGGGCTTTACAAAGTGAGATTACCTGCCTGAGGCCCCCTGTCTCAGAGCCATCTGACTCCAGAGCCCAAGCCCAGCCACTGCTCTACCACGGACCAGGGGCTCTCGAAGGACCTCTCTGCCACGAGGAGGCATAATAGTGCTTGTGTGGCTCAGTGAGGGCCGCCTGGGTGCGTGTGTGCATGTGGTAGAGAGGGGGGGCCCTGGAGCCAAGCACCTAGCTATCCTTCCCGGCATTTACTTTTGGTTTCAGTATGCCTGTGTTTCTCCCGTCAGCACATGGGATCCCGCCTGCCTTTGCTGATAAGAATGGAATATTAGTATTTTTAAACAGACTGAAAATAAAATTGTCTTATGACACAGATCTAGAAATAAAATACTGAGCCCCCAGAATCTGCTGTTGCCATAGCCCCCCAAGTGTGAGTATATGGATTCTGGAAATAACCAAAGTTAGGCCCTTTCAATTCCGTTTTAAAAAACAACGTAGGGGTGCTTGGGTGGCTCCGTCAGTTAAATGTCCAACCGGATTTTGGCTCAGGTCATGATCTCAGGGCCGTGAGACGGAGCCCTGCATCGAGCTCCGTGCTCAGTGTGGAGTCTGCTTGAGATCCTCTCTCCCTCTGCCCCTGCCCCTGCTTGCACTCACACGCGTGTGCTCTCTCTCTAAATGGAATCTTTTTAAAAAAATTTTTTTTAAATCTTTTTTCTAAGAACCTTTCTAGAATCTATTACATGCTTCCTGGCATTCTGAAACAGGATTCTAGATGATTCCAGTTCATCTTTAGGAACACTGTGTGGCCTGCCAGTAACTGTGGGGCTGTGTGTCCTCCAATGACATGTCCCTAGACTGCAATGCGGTGTCCCTTCTTGTGCCTGCCTTTCATTCTGGCCTCTTCAGTCCTGTTTGCCATTAAGCTATTGTCACCATTTGAGGGTGTCAGAACTGTTTCTCTTTTTTTCCCTTTTAAAAGTTTTATTTTGGGGGGGCACCTGGGTGGCTCAGTCGTTAAGCGTCTGCCTTCGGCTCAGGTCATGATCCCAGGGTCCTGGGATCGAGCCCCGCATCGGGCTCCCTGCTCCGCAGGAAGCCTGCTTCTCCCTCTCCCACTCCCCCTGCTTGTGTTCCCTCTTTCGCTGTGTCTCTCTCTGTCAAATAAATAAATAAAATCTTAAAAAAAAAAAAAGTTTTATTTTTAAGTAGTCTTCACACTCAACATGGAGCTTGAACTCACAACCCTGAGATCGAGAGTCACGTGTTCCACTGACTGAGCCAGCCAGGCGCCCCAGAACTAACTGCTTCTGGTCCGGAGAGGGACTGGTGGTTGTCTTTGGGTGGAGGGAGTTATGAAAGCAACATTTCCTTTGTACTTCCTGATTTTCCTGTAGTGAGCGTGTTTAATTTTTCCAATAAGGACCAAAAGGGACTTGGCGAATAGTTGTTCCTGTCCCCATGTACCTGACTCTAGGCTGCACCAGGGTACATATGAGTTCAGGTGTCTGTCTCCCTAATAGACTGTGACCACGGTATTTGTCTTTGTGGCAGACCTGTGCTGGGCTGGCACTCAGTAGGTGCTCAGTAAATGTTTGCTGATGGACCCAAAGATGGCAGTCTTCCAGAGCCAGAAGGCTGTTCTAGAACCTAGTAGGGGTAGTGTCCATAAGGCCATTGGGTCCCCCGGATAAGTATCCAGCCACGTTTGCCACCACGGGCTGAAGCAAGCTGATTCTGAGGCCACTGGCCCCCAGGTCATTTTTGGACCTCCCACCCTACCTAGGCTGTCTCACCTGCTTCCATGGGGCTGGAGTGTTGGTCAGCGCTAGGAGGCGCCCTCTGCTGGCCACCCTGGGCCACTGCCTGAGGTCAACTGCATGGGCCTCCTGGGCCTCCGCCTGTGGTTCCAACCACATACTGAGCAGCGCTGCCTGCCACTGGGCCCAGTGGGTCCACAGGAGGCGTCTGGACCCAGCCTGCTGGAATTGGGTGATGGTGGCTCGCTGGACACGGCCCCTGGCTGCTGACTGGGCCCAGGCCTCTAGGACACTGGGAGAGAGGGAGGAAACCACATGTGTGGTGGGCTGTAGGGGGCCCTTCCCAGCCCTTGCCAGTGGGCGAGGAGTCCCCTGCTGGGCGGGGACCTCCAGGCTAAGCCCGCACTGGTGCTCCTCCCCTCATCCCTCTTCTGGGGAAATCTGGTTAAAAGAGGCCCGGAGAGCAGCAGAACATCACACACCAGGGACAAGCATCTTGTTGAGGCAACAGAGAGCGGGCAGTCCTGCTGCTACACTTTGCCTCGCCCTCCCTCACAAGAGCACTGTTTAATGAGCACCTGCTGTGTTTCTGACCCCTGAGCCGAGTGCTCCCGTGCATTCTCTCTCTAAGGCAGGCGTGTTATTTTCCTTTGACCTTCAAAGACTTGCTCAGAGAGGGGTTGCACTGCTGGAAAGTGCAGGTCTGGACTTGGACCCCAGGATGAGCTGCAGTGGCTGGGACCGCCTCTCCCTCTGACCCCAGCCTCCTGAGCCCTGTCACCAGCCACCAAATACCCTCTACCTCTGCCAACAACAAGCTCAAGGCCTCAGAAACAGACTGAGCTGGAAGCACCATGTGCGGCTGCCCTCTGGCCACAGGCACCCACCTGGCGCTCAGCTTCTGGGCAGCACGGGCTCGGCTGACCCGGCGTAGGCGGGACTCACGCACCCGCTGTGTCCGGCACAGGGCCACTCTGCCTTCTGCCAGGCGGCGGGCCTTGTGGCGCTGGCCCAGAGCTGCTTGCCATGCTACGAAGGCCTGCCGGGCCCGGGCCCTGCTCAGCTGCCTGTCCGCCCAGCCCCGCTGCACGTGGCTTCTCCAGCGGGCCACGGAGGCCCGGGCCACAAACTGCTCCTGCGCCCAGGCCTTGGCTGCTCGGGCATCCTGCCACACGGCAATTGTGGCCCCCACGGCCTTTCTCGGGCCATCCTGAGAGGCTCCCGTGGCCGGGACCACCCCTGTATCTCTCTCAGCTCCACACCAGGCCTGGAAGTGGCTGAAAAACAGGAGCAGAGGAGAGGCCCAGCTGGGTTTCAGCATCAGAAGTCCCATTTATTCCAAATCGCACCCGCAGATGCTGCCCCAAAGTGTCCTAGGTTATACGTGGCTTTGCATACACAACCCTGTGCCTTCAGAACGTAGGAACCGACGTGTAAAGGGTCAAAGTGCTGGCTTTGGTTCAGGGCTTCCGCCCGAGCAGGCAGACTCAGGAGGGCAGGTGCTCCCAGGAGGTCGTGGGAACATAGCAGGTGTGGGGTCAAGTGCCAGGGCCACCGGGGCGGGGGGGCAGCCAGGCCTGGTCTCCCCTCACAAGCCCACTCGGGGGCAGGAGCCTGGTGAGGGGAGCACAGTGCCCACTCCAGGAAGGGCCAAAAAAACTGTGCCCACTGTTCAGCTGTATCTGTTCAGTATCCGTAATCCGCCGTCAATGGCCGGCCGCCCGTGCGGGGACACTGGGAACATCTGCGAATTCGTAGCTGAACGGTGGGAGGAAGCATCATCTGTCCCCGCTGCTTTTAACTATGCACGAATGAGCTATATACGTTTTACTAGAACATCTCCATTTAGATGAAGAGCTCGCTCTTTTGGCAACTGTATAGAGTAGAACTTGCCTGTCCTCAAACAAGACATGGGCAAGACATTGGAACACACATTATGGTGGATGTTTGAGGCATGGACTTCCCCCATCTTTCCTGTGTCCTCTCAAACCAAAGGACTGACCTGGCCAGGAGTTGGAGACCTGGGGCTCATCAGGGCATCAGGTGGGCACCCCTCGAACAAAGCAAGTAAAGGAAGGTCGGTGGTCATGACTCTATGGCTCCCTCGTTAGGTCCCCTGAGTTGTCTCTCTGCTTTTTCCAGAGTGGAGATGACCCTCATCCTCCTACCCCCGGGCCCACCCACCTGTGCAGTAGAAGCTGCTCTGGGGGGTCCACTGGGTGTCTCCGACGAGCTGCTGCCTGCCGCCAGTTCTGGAACACGGACCTCCTCAAGCCCCGGAGATGGACCTGCACCCACCTCTGATACTTTGCATGCAGGAACTGCTGCCCTGTGGCCAGAGAGATGCTGAGATGCCCCCGGGCGTTCATCCCAGCCTTGCCCCTCAGCCCTGGGTAACTGTGGGCCCCACCTCAGCCAGCCCTTTGCACTCGACCCAAGCAGGGGCAGAGGAGGCCCCCAGGGTTTAAATGCTTCAGTTACAAGTATCCTGCAATGACCAGGCCAACCCAGCTCATTGTTTTTCATTTCTTGGAAATGTTTAGGAATCAGGAGAATTCATGTAAAAATCTAGATTTCCAGCTTTTCTTTGAAAACGAGGTCTGGCAACCCTGGGTCAGCATAACTGGGCAGCGATTGGGCTGGAGAAGCAGCTGTCCCCAGTGGACAGGACATGAACTTTCCAGAACGACCAGGTCCCCACCCGCCAGCTCATTGATACGATGTGTTAGTATAGTGGGAAGCCTCGAAAACGGCCCCCAGTGATCACCTCCTATGCTGGGCTCTGAGGACACCATGACTCAGTGCTCAGGCCCATGACTCCTGAAGGCCAGGTGAGGATAATGAGGATGAGGATGAAGACAAGATGATGATGACAGTAACTGGGTTAGGAGCTGGGTTCTGAGCCAACACTGCATGGATGGTCTCATAGACTCCCCACAATCACCCTATGAGGAGGGTACTGCTGTGATCCCCATTTGACAGATGAGTAAGCTGAGGCTCAGAGAGGTTGTGTGGCTTGTGTAAGGTCCACATAGCCGGGGAACGGACGGGCAATGTCCAGGCCCCTGGGTTCCGCTCTGCCCCCTCCCCGTCCTGGGTGTGCCCTGTGGGGGTCCCATCACTGGACTCTGTGCTGGAGGACACAAAACCCTGGGTCTCCCTGATGGACCCAGCCCTTCCCTCCCCTTCAGTGCCCCGGAGCCAGGCCCCGACTCACTCTGCCAGGAGGAATGCCAGCAGTTCAGGGCGCGTCGAACCAGTGTGCGGCCCCGCGCCCGAACCCACTGCTCCACCTCTCGCCCCTGCACCAGCCGCCTCCGCCACAAGCCCAGCGCGGCCCTGCAGCTCCGCTCCCAGGCCCAGCCAACAGCCAGCTCTCTCCGGGCCCCTCGGGCCGTGGCCCAGTGGCTCCAGCCGAGGAGGATGCTAGGAAGGGGAGCGTCCACCCTGAGCATGGTCAGTGCCACCCCAGGCTCCCCTAGGAGCTCGAGGGGACTCTTCTCCCTGTTTCCCTCATGGGGGAGCGTGGCTTGCTGGGGGGGGCTGGACTGCTCATATGCTACTCCGAGTGTCACAATGACAGGTTAGGGATAAGATGGGACCTCGGACCCCAACCAAGTCCTGAGCTCAGCCACCAGTGATAAACATTGCCATGAACTGAGTGCTTACTATGTGCCAGGTACTGGGCTAGGGGATTGCGTGCCCCTACCTTGTTGATGCCCATCAGAGTGACTACTGTTATCATCCCCATACAAATGGAGAGATGGAGGAGACACAGAGAGGTTAAGCAACTTGCCCAAGATCACATAGCTAGCGAGGGGCAAAGCTGGGATTAGAACCCAGGCAGACCGACGCTTGAGCATTGTGCTGCGGATGAATAGATGAATGAGCCACAGCTATGAAGTCTCTGGGAGAAACGACTGGCAGGCTAGGAGGGCAGAAGTCCAGAGGACCTGAGTCTGGGTACCAACAGATCGGAGCGTGAGATGGGAGCCCTCTGGGAGGCAGACCGCAAAGGGATGCTGCTGTGAAGGTCAGGGAATAATGGGAAGGGGGCTGGGAACAGGATGGCCACAGAGTGGTGGGTGGCATGGCTCACCCGCCATGGGGAGGGGTCCCTACCGCCTCTGAAGAGTACACTGGTGCCACTTTGCTGCACCCCGGAACTGCTGGGCCTGCACCTGCCAGAGCAGAAGGCACCGTGCCTTCTGCCGCTGCCCAGAGGCCCACAAAAAGCTCAGCCGGAGGGTCTCCAAGAGGGCGGGGGCCCTGGAAGCCTGGGGAAGGAGGGATGGAGTCCTGGATCCCTGGGCCCCTGCCCTGTCCCCACCCTTTCCTCCCACCTGCCCCCCACCCCCTGCCCCTCACCTTTTCTAGTGAGCTTCGGGGTGGGCTGCAGCCCAGCAAGGGCTCCCTTCCTGGGATGCCGCTCAGGAGCTCCGGGGCCAAGGTGGTCCTGGCACTGTCTGATGGGGTGCTCGGACCCCACGCCTTCAAATGCCACCCCTTCAGGATACGCCGAATCATCTGCTGCCGCATGCCCCGGAGGAAGGAGCTACAGGAAGGGGCAGGTGAGTCCCTGGGCCCCAGCCTCACCCCCTGGCTGACGGGGCTGCCAAGCAGGTGCTACCCTCGGCTGGGTCTCTGCCAGAGATGATCTGGAAGGGGGCCTCCCATGCCAAACACCAGGCCACGTATGGGACTACCGGGGGCTCTGAGACGTACTCATGCCCATTGGGGTCCCACCCCCAGAGATTCTGACTTAGCAGTCTAGGTGCGGCCTGGGCTTCCTAACTTTTCCAGAGCTCCCAGAGTGACTCTCACGAGTATCTAAGGCTGAGGCAGCTGCTGTCTACACCTGCATCACCTCGCGATCCTCGCCACACTCCTGATGGGAGGGGGAGCTGGGCCCCAGACCCAAGGACCCCAGACTCAGGAGACCACATGTATGGTCCCATCAGTACTTCTGCCTCTGCTCAGTTATAAAGATAAGGGCACCGAGGCCTGATGGAAGGTCATTTCTCCAAACTCCAAATAGCAGGAGACATGGGATTCAAACACTTATTTTAGATCACAGGGCAACCCTAGCTCTGTTGTAGGGAGATACTGTTCCCTGATGCCCAGAGGCTAGAGGATGGACTGGAGGAGGGAGAGCTACATTCTGAGGGATCATGGTGAACTGACTTCTCTGGGAGTTCTAGGGGCTTCGTTCAAAGAGACGGAGGGTCCAGGTGGACCAAGTGGGTATGGGATGATGGATACTAGGCATTGACTTTCTTTCTTTCTTTCTTTCTTTCTTTCTTTCTTTCTTTCTTTCTTTCTTTCTTTCTTCTTTCTTTCTTTCTTTCTCACTTTCTTTTTTTTAAGATTTTATTTATTTGAGAGAGAGAGAGCACGAGTGGGGGTGAGGGGCAGAGGGAGAAGCAGGCTCCCTACAGAGCAGGGAGCCTGATATGGGGCTCAATCCCAGGACCCCGGGATCATGACCTGAGCTGAAGGCAGATGCTAAACTGACTGGGTGCCCCAGGTGCTCTAGTATGGGGCTTTTGATGACGGAATTCTTATCCCTGCAACTGCTGGCTTATGTTCCACTTGAGGTCTCATCGGCGCCACTGGCCCCTCCTGACCCCCATCGCCCCCTCACCCACAGCCATCAGCCTGGACTCTGAGTCCCAGCAACGACTGTCTTGTAGAAAAGCAACAGGGATCTTCTTGCTCCTAATTCACAGTGTGATTTAGAGCAAGCTGCTCGGCCCTCTGAGCCCCAGTTTCTCGAGCTGTATAACAAGGCAGACGGGGGCACTTACTTGCTTACAGTATCTATCATGCCTCTAACATGCCAGACCGTGGTGAGGCAGACACTGTTCCTGCCACCAGGGGACTCCCCCCTCTAGCCCGGAGAGAAGCAAGCAACCTCTCCATCAGGTTCCAGCCCCCCTGGTAGGTAGGGGTCTGTGTCTGTGTCCCCGGCTACCCCATGGCTCCCACAGCTTGCTCTCTGCTCAACCACTGTCTCCCGGCCCCTGGGCCACCTCCCTCAGCCCCGCACCTGCCTGCCGGGTACCGCAGCATGCCAGGGTCCCTGCAGGAACCTCGGGGAAGGGCAGGACCTGGCCCCTTCTCCGTGGGACACTTCCCAGGGATGAGCACTGCTCACATGCCCATCCTGTACGTACCCCCGGGCCCAACCCCAGGTCACAGGCTCATGGACACCTACTCCGCCCTCTGGCGCTGGGAGAGCCTCGTCCTCCAGAGCAGCAGTGCCCGGTGCAGGGCCAGTCTCCGGCAGGCTTCCTGCAGGGAGCCCCCGCCTTGCTCCTGGGGCAGCCCCTGGGCCTGAGCCACTACCCCCAGGCCACGGGCTGTAGCCGCTCCAGGCGCTGAGCTGCAGAGGGCCACATTCCCTGAGAAGCAGTCAAAGGATGAATCAGCCGTGTCCCCAGTGACCTCCTTCCACCCAAAGCCCTTGGCGGCACCCATGGGAGTCAGGGATGGTGTGGGCTGCTGCCCAGCCTGCCTCACCCCTCCTTAGGACCTCCCCTCCCAGGCACTGCCCCCTCCCACTGCTTCCAAATCCTCCCCTCCAAGACACCTCAAAGAGCCCATTTTCCCCTATCAAGGGGGACAAGGGCTGTGTATTATCCCCCAGACCAGGAGCTTCCGAGAGCAGGGATCACATCCCCTCCTAGTGGAAGATGGGACGAAGTCTCTTGCCTAGAGAAGCTCCTGACCCGGAGTGAGGATGGGGCCCAGCCAAGGCCTGCCCACTCTGGGGACCCCTCCTGGACCCTCCCGGGCCGTCAGACTGCACCCCCCAGAATGCTCTGGGTTCTACCACCTCCCATCACGAGAAGCCATCAATTCCACTGGGGCCCACCACAGACGGAGCTTAGGTGCCACTGTTTGCTGGGGTGGGAGGGAAAGGGAGCCCCTCGGCCTGCCACTTGCTCACTCACCCGCCTTCTGGCGGCAGAGGGACAGCCGGATCACCTTCGCTCCATCTGAGGCCCGTAGCTGCTTCATCCGCACCCACTGTTGCAGACATAACTTCAGGCTCCCTGCCCGGCGACGGGCCAGGTGGTCCCGGGACCGGGTGGCTCTTTGCACAAACTGCTGCCAGGCCCCAAAGCACCTGGGGAACCGAGAGAAGGTGCTGGTATGAGTCGTCCGTGCCACTGCTGAAGACTTGGACAAGCCACTTCACTCTCTGACCCTGTTCGGGCCACCACGCCCTCACCGCTGGGTGCCCGGGTGGCCTCCGCAGCCTCCCGCATCCACTCGGGGCCCCTCCAGGCACTGGCATCTCAGTGGCCAGAGTGATCTTTTTCCAATCTCAAATGCAGTCATCTTGCTCCCCTGCTGAAAGCCCCCAGCGGTGCCCCCCTGCCCGCCTTGCGGTTAGGACAGAATGTCAACTCCTCGGCACCGCCTACAAGGCCATGATCTGGCCCTGGCATGCCTTTCCATCTTCATCTTAACCCACCACCCCCCGGCCCCCACCCTGGGCTGCCAGGGTGTCCTTTGAGTTTCCCACACTCCCCTGTCACGGGCCTTTGCCTGTATGGTTCCTTCGCTTGGTGGTCTCCTGCTGGCTCTCCCTCAACGGGCCAAGCATTCATCCTCACATCTCCGTGGAACCATGGTTGAGCTCAGCAAACTTCGCTCAAAGTTCTCCTAGGAAACTGCACTTGGGGGGCACCTGGGTGGTTCGGTCGGTGAAGTGTCTGCCTTTGGCTCACTCAGGTCGTGATCCCAGGGTCCTGGGATCCAGCCCCACGTGGGGCTCTCTGCTCAGTGGGGAGTCTGCTTCTCTCTCTCCCTCTCCCCCTCCCTCCTTCTCTCTCTCTCAAATAAATAAATAAAAATAAAATCTTTGAAAAAAAGAAACTGCACTGGGGGATGCAGGCAGCAGGATGTAGACCCGGGGAAACTCTACTTGATCAGCAACCTGGTTTCCTCCACAGATGAATTGCAAAGAAAAAACTAGAGGGGACCCCAGAGCTCAAAAAGACTTTAATGACTTATCGACCAACTTTAACATGAGGACTTTATTTAGATCCTGGTTCAAACAAACTATAACAGAATGTGTACCTGTAAAACAGTTGGTATTAAGGAATTAATGTTCACTTTTAAGCGTGATCATGGCACGGTGGGTATGTTGTTGAAAAGAGTCCCTATCTTTTAGAGATGCTACAGAAGTATTTATGGGTGAAACGGTATGATGTGGGGGGCCTGCTTTAAAATAACATAGGGGAAGCAGTTGGGGTACAGATGAAACAAGGTTTTCAGGAGGTGATTTTCTCTTTTTCTTTCTTTTTTTAAAAGATTTTAGTTATTTATTTTAGAAAGAGAAAGCATGGGGATGCCTGGGTGGCTCAGTCGGTTAAGCGTCTGCCTTCAGCTCAGGTCATGATCCCAGGGTCCTGGGAT